CAAAATTTTGTTAACTTTAACAAAATAATTTACTAAATGAGAGGCATTCAGTAAATTATTTTAAAAACAAAATAAATTTTAAAATTATTGTAAAATTTGAGATGAATTACAATAATCCTATTTAGCTACAATGTGTTTTTGAAGACCTCTGAAAGATTGATTTAAGACATTTTAAGGCTAATTAAGGCCTTGTTGTTTGGATTGAATTCAATGCCTTTTAATGCTTTTTAAGGATCTGCAGGAACCCTGAATAGGCACTCATTTTAGTTTAAGGTAGGAAGTAGAAATGATTAACTTTCTGACAAATCATGTGTACTATTTCATCATCCATTTATTATGTTGCTATCAGGTTAATGACTGACCTTTGGCACATGGGGATTGAACTCCACAGCTCTGTGTATGGCCTCTACAGCGTTCATCTCTGCTGTGCTGAGCCCCCGTCTGGATGCTGCTTCTGGAGAGAACCTGAGAAAAAAAAATCCCTCCTATGAAACATGACTGCTCCTGCGGCCGGTCACATACACCGAGTTTGAGAAATACAATACAGGATTTGCGAGATTATGTGTACTTTTAAAAATACAAACCAAAAGAACACATACTTATCTGAAACAGCCCGTGCTTTCAACAGTGCAGATGTGTAGCATATTGTGGCTGATTTTGGCAGGCTGATGTCTAAAATGAGACAGAGACTGTGTTAAAGTAAAAATAAATAGATAAATCACACAATGATGAGAGGTAATCTGTGTACATCTCGAGTTAATAGTGCTCCAAAGCTCTAGCATTTAGTTTAGTCATACCATCATATTTGGCAAGGACTGCTTGCACATCAGCGTACGCCTGAAGCTCCAGAAGTGCTTCCAAGAGATTTTCATGTATGTTTAACATTCCCAACAATGGGAACTCTTTCATCAACTGAAAAGAGATGACATTATTGTAATAAGTAATGAGTTTCCTGGTATTTATGTAGCATGCTCACAATTTGACATAACTCCAAACACTACAAGTAATTATAAATCTTTGCAAATCCATTATTTAACAGAAAACAAAGTAGTTAAAAAAAAGAACAAAACTCACATCTCTCATCATTTTCACAGCTTCTTTGATCCTTCCCAGCTTGCGTGCACACATTGCCAGTCTACGTTTAATATACACCAGCAAGTTGATATCTTTCCCAGCTGTGGATTGCAAAGAGAAAATGTAAGGTGTTGAAGGAATTTAAAAACACGAAGAACGGGAACAGAACTAGATCAGAGAAGCTGCGGCGTGCCGACGGCAACGATTTGTCGCGCTGGCAGCACGTGCGTATCAAACCAGCTGTTAGGTATCGACACACTCGTGGCTGTTTCTACACATTTAAATCCATTCTTACCAAAAGTCAAAGCTTTTTTAAAGAGGCGTTCGGCTTCTGTGATGGTTGTAGCTTCCTCTTCTGCTAAGAGCACATACGCTGCAGAACATCTGTAAACGTGCACACACATGCAAAATCAGGTCACAGTTAGACATGTATGTACCTATTCATCCTTTTTACTTTAACGTTGGTTTGCATGGACATCAGTAATGAAAACAATAATAAAATAAATAATAAAAAAAGAGCTGAATCCCTTTTCCAAACTATAACTACTGTACGTACAAACAGGTTAAACCAATAAATATACCTCACATGGATTTATGCATTGCTGCTCTGTTTTTCAGTTTCTGCATACAATTTGTTAAAGAAAGATGCAGTATGTATGTAACTATAGAAGAATAAATTAGTACTTACTCGTGATTCATTTCAATGGCCTGGTAAGCTGCTCTGATCCTGGCTTGAGGATTCCTCTCTCTCCAGGCCTTCTGCATCACTGTAAGAAGACACACGAGTTTAATATTCGTGTGACCTTAGAGCTCTGACATGCAAAACTCCAGTGCAACAACAAAACAACACATTTCTGCTGGAACGCGCCTCTTTCGCTTTATTACTTTTTCACGTTTTGTCTTGTCAAGAGATGAACTTGAGCAAACTATTTAAATAGATTGAGTAACCCTAGAACTCACCAGCATCCTCTGGCCTTAACTGTTGAGTGTCTCCTGTGAAAAAGGTCTGATGATCCTGAGCAGACAAGTTCATATCATAGTAGGTCAAAGGCTCCTTCCCAGTCACCCAGGTGTACCTATGATACACAGATTTAATATTATCAGTGCAGCGTGTTTCATAAAATAAAATAAAAATGTGAATTTTTTTTTCATTCAAAAATGTCTGGCTTCTTTAAAGCAGCTTAACAGACCTGTTGTACTCTGCTCCTCTGAATAGATTTAAAGGATTCCTCCAGACCTTGCATTCTATCAAAAAGAGGACATATTAGTACGCGCGGTATTAGGAACAGTACCGCTTTCATAATTAAATAGGGTATTTACCAGAGACACTGGGTCTAGGCTCAGCCTCTCCATTGACTGATGAAAACAGACCAGTTGTAGAGCTGCTCTCCACTCCACCCAGCAGAGGACGAAGGTGGCTTACAGACACTTGTTCAATGAACGAGGTCCCGTATTTACGAAAATACCACCATTCAAATATCTACAGTGAGAAGACATATAATAAAACCACGTTTGGGAGACAAACGTGGAGATGTCAGTTTTCTAAGTTACCCCAACAGTGGTTACTGATCTTTTCCCGAGTCTTAAAAGTGTTTCAGTTGACAAACAGATATATTCACGTAGGTGCTGCAGTAAATCTCACTATTTTGTAAAGGAAGAGAGAAAGACATACAAAACAAGTGGAAAAAACATAAGGTGATACATTTCTCAGGCTCTGTATCAGAATGCTGGGACTTTGATGAGTGTTTTTCTATTTCCCAAGGACATGGATTGTAGGTAACATTTACTGTAAATAGTTTTTCGTTAGGTCTTTATTTGTTTTGCTTCGTTAGTGATGTAAGACAAACTGCAAAAACCATTTGTGAACATTTCGGCTAAACTCTCTTTGTGGAAACTTTGTTGATGTAAAAATGCTTTTTGAAGCTTATTAAACTGTTATTATTTTGATCACAGGTTGAAACTAGGGCGACTCGATTATTAGAAGAAAATATAACACGATTGTTTTGATAGAAATTGAGATCTAGATTATTTAACAAAATTATTCTTTCACTTTGATAACATGAATTAACTGAACATAAACAATGGCTGTTAATGTTTCCCTCAGGACTTCAAATATTTATGAAAAAAATAGGCACAGTGAAACTTTGGCTGTGTGAGGAGCCTGCAGCATCATGCTAGCAGTGGCACTGGATTCACAACACAAAACAGCATAAGCGTAAATCGCGAACTTTGATCACTATGGCTGTGTCCAAAACGGCAGGACGGGTCCTCCGAAGGTCGAATTTGTCGGCCGCATACGTCACAGCGCCGCGACGAAGGACGTCCAAAACGGAAGACTCCTCCGATGCGTCTGACAAATACGTCCTTCTTTTTCCCCGAATCGAAGGACAGGTCCGATGGATCCTTCCCGGCCCAGCATATCCCATAATGCATTGCGGCCCGACCGGAGATTTTTTTAAGCTAGTAATGGCGGACGAAGCGAGAGAAAAGAATACGTTTTAAATAAAAATATGGTGATATAAAAATTAAAAAAAATTAGCGGTTGTAATTCTAATACTTTTATCATTTTTATGGACATGTTTTTAAATATTATTTTTTTGTCATAAAAAACGCGAAATAAACACGAACCTACAGCGGGTCAATTAGTTCTTCAAATGATACCTTTAAGTTAATTTCATAGTTTTGTGATATTAATAATGCTAATGTATTGATATTTTTCTAGTTTTGATTTAAGTTTGCTTGTTTAGCGTCGTCACAGTTGCTAGGTGACAAGACATACGCCAGGGTAAGGAGGGGAGGCTAGACCGTCCAAATCCACAGCCTCTTTTTTTCCGGTCTTCCCGGTCTACCAAGGACCCGGCCCGCCGAGACCGGGGAGTCTGGGTCCTCCGGAGGACCCGGCCTGTCGTTTTGGACACAGCCTATGTTTTTATGATCGTTGAAAACCCAAATCGTAATCAAGATCAAAATCCAATTCATTGCCCAGCCCTAGTTGAAACAAAGATTAACCAGTAAATCCAGAGTTTTGCCTTTCGACGAAACTCTTTCTTCAACACAACTGACCAAAGCAACACCCTTATCTCATTGTCTTTCAAATGTTGTTTTGTGAGAAATATAGGTGTTCTATTTGATCAGTCTTTGTTGTTTGATACACGCATTAAAAGATCCTGTTCTTTCCCATTTAGGAAACATCAGTAAGTTGAGATCTGTCCTTAAACACAGAGATAGAGATGTTTATTCATGCCTTCATTCCTTCTAGGATGTAATGCAGCTGGACTGATAAGATCACTCTATTGTTATGTTCACCGCATTGGCTTCCTGTGGAGTTTAGGATTCAGTTTAAAACAATCACTTATAGAGTGTTGCTCCCACTTACACAGCAGATCTACTTCACCCATATGTATCTACACGCAAGCTTAGGTCCAGTAACTTGAATCAGGTACTTGTTCCTCGGTCCTATCTAAATACATGTAGGAACAGAGTATGCAGGTTGTAGCTCCTAAATTTTGGAACACATTATCTCAATCTCCAAGAGCTGTGGATTCAGTAGAATTTTTTAAAAAGCAGCTAAAAATGCACCTGTTTAAGCAGTCTTAATATGTCTGAATGAGTTTTAATGTTGTTTTATTTGTGTTTTATGATTTGTAAATGTATTTTTAATGCTCTGTTGTGTAATATTTTGTTTCACTGTGAAGCACGTTGAGTCCTTGACTGTGAAAAGTGCAATACAAATAAAGTTATTTACTTACTTTAAATTAAATTAAATTTATAGTGCAAGTAGGCCAATAGTAACTTTTGCAAAACTTTAATGACTAGAAATAACCTTCATTCATGAATCACAAAGAGTAAATCTAGAGATGAGACAGTCACGTCCTTCTATTTAAGAAATGTAACATTTAGGATAAAAACTTACAAGAATAAGTCCAGAGATGAGAGAAGATGTTCCAGTGAGAGCCACGTAGAATTTAGGAGTAAGAGTGTTCAAAAACACTGAGGCTGAAACATAAAAATTTAAGAAGAAACCTCAGAAATGTGCAGCCAGAGCTGTGGAAATATGAGCTTTTTGAGACAGTTGACAACTAAAATACTAAAGAAAAAAACTGATGACAACTTGTTGTGTAAAGACAGTGGCATTTAACAACTCAGTGTTTATAATAAACATCAACAATTTTAGCTAACTTTACAACAACACAACATGGATAACAATCTACCAGCTAACATTTGAAAAATGTAAGACTATTTACAAAAACATCTACTTGACCAGCAGCTGCTCAGCGTTTCGCTTGTCTTCAACATTCAGACTACGAGCTGTCAAAAAACAAAAACAGCCCCCGTGTCCGTCTGCAGCCAGTTACCCGAAGGCTAACAATAGCTAGCTAGCAGCTGCCTTAATTTACCTGAAGTAAGAGTTTCCTGCAGTTTAAGCGGACTCCACAGGACGTATATCATAATCAGCACCATGCCGAACCAAACGAAGCACACGTAGGTCCATGACCAAGAGAGCCAAGACTTCAATTTCTCTGTAAATCCGAGAGATTGTGGATTACTGCCAGTGGAGTCCTCCATGTTTCTCCGGATGTCTGTAAACAGAGGTGTCACGTGACCATGACGCCACATTAGCCTTGCTTTGCTTTTGTAGTTTGCAACAGTTTCTGGACTAAAT